GAAATATTTTTTTCTGATCCGCGAGATTGATTGATCTTCTTATAATAACCTTTTCCCGTATTCATCGATGCGTTCGGGAAAAAGAAAAGTTGAAATTTCCAGGAGGGTTTGTCATGGTTCCTTTAAAGGGAGATTAATTTCAATCTACTTAGTGATGTTTGTTTTCGAACGTAAGTAGAGGTATATGAGGGGTTCTACGCAGTGGTGGAGGTAGTGGAGTTGACGTCAAAATAGTTCAGGGGATTAAAATGATGAGATCATCATCTAAAAATAGAAAGGTATCCTGTATAACAATCTAGGGTGTTGACGTCATGAAAAAACGATGAGATCATCATCAAAAGTAGTCATTTAAGGCAATTGGTGCGATGACATCATCAGCTAAAATTAGAAAGGGTTTTTTGACATGATCAGCTTTTTTTTATAGTCTATGACATCATTATTTATTTTTATCTTTTTAAGACCATATAAATGGAGGTTATTATTATTATTAATTATTATTGTCATCCAAAACGAAAATGGGTATTATTATAATAATACTGTAATTAATAATTTATGAACTTATTGTGCGCAGCTTAACATGAGAATGATCAGCTGCGCATTACAACTGCATTACTTTACAAGAAACAAATAAAAGATAATGTATTTAAAAATAAAAAATAAAAAGAACATATCTGCATGCAAGTAGGAACTGAATATAAAATTGCTCACCAATATAAAGTTCTAAACAGATAAGTCTTAAAATGCGCCTTAAAAGTGTTCACGTTAGTATTCGCACGAAGTTCCTTTGGAAGAGAGTTCCAGAGCGTTGGCGCTGCTAACATAAAAGCTCTATCACCTAACGTCTTCGATCGAACAGCTGGCATAGAAAGTAAAATACTACCTGAAGATCTAAGGTTATATATGGACGATTTAAATGTAAGTAAATCGCATAAATATTTAGGAGCAAGGCCGTGAATTGCTTTGAACGTAATAAGTAGTATCTTAAATTGCATCCGGGCTTTAACAGGAAGCCAATGGAGACCACGAAGAAGGGTCGAGATGTGGCAAAACCCAGGGGCATTACAAACTAGCCTGGCTGAGGCATTCAAAACTCTCTGCAATTTGTTAAGCTGGTAGTTCGGCAGCCCATACAAAAGACTGTTACAATAATTAACACGAGATGTAATAAATGCACGGACAAGCATTTCCGTTGATTCTCAAAACTAATACTTGCGAATGCTTTGATATTATGCAAATGGTAAAAGGCAATACCACATAACTTACTAATATGAGTTGACGTACGTAGTGAGCTGCTCATCAAACCATGAGCCTAGGTTTCTAGCTACTGTTACAGGACAAACATCAGTCGACCAAACCCTAATGCAATTGATGTTATTCTTGGCCAGCTGCTGCTTAGTACCTATAATTAAAAATTCTGTTTTATCATCGTTTAACATAAGATTATCTGAAAAGATTGTCCTAATGTCACTGATACAGTAGTCATGGACTTGATGGCAAAATCAGCATCCGCAGATCGATTGGCGCTGGATGATACATACAACTGTGTATCGTCCGCGTAGCAGTGAACTTGTGGGGGGTGGCGTTCAACGATCTGAAACAGTTTGCGCGTGTAAGGGGCCCAAACATGATCCTTGAGGAACACCTTGGTTTAACGGAAACTGATCAGGGAGACTACCATTTACAGAGACACGCTGGAACCGGTCAGATAGATACGATTTAAACCAGGCAAGCGCATTGTCAGTTATTCCCAAATCACACTCAAGACGACCAATCAGCTTGTCATGATGTATAGTGTCAAAAGCTGCACTGAAATCTAATAATACAAGTAAGGTGACATGTTGCTCTCCATAGACATCAAAATATCCTTCTTAACTTTAAGTAAGGCTGTCTCCATGCTGTGTTGCTGTTTATACGCCGATTGAAACTGAGAATGTAAATTGTTGGCAGTCAGATGCTCCATAAACTGCTCAGCACCAGCCCTCTCCGATAATTTAGAAATATAAGAGAGGTTACTGACTGGACGGAAATTTTTGAACGCAAAGTCCAAACCAGGCTTCTTGAGAGATGGTAACACAAGCGCCTCTTTCCAGGCCTCAGCGAATCGACCGGTGTCAAAAGAGAGGTTGATCAGCTTAGTCTTATTCAGTCTTTCATAAGAATAAAGCTTATAATCACTATCGTATGATCGCAGCTACTACTCAAATGAAATAACTGCAACTCGGATCAACAATTTCTAAGCTGAAAAACTCAATTATGATCCTTTGACCATGGAGAAATGGGAATGATCGTTTTTTTTTTCTGATGGGCAGAATTGTCTTAAAATTTTATTACAGCTTTCTGATAATTATGTTGTCAAATGCGCGTGAATTTTTCAACCGAAAGACGATAAAAATGTGTGAAAAAGGTAGATTGCTTTATAAGCCACAGTCCTTAAGTTACCCATTTATCTCACAAGTACTCAAAGTAATTACAACAAATCCCAACATCAAAATATCAAAATGAAGGTCGCAGTGATTACTTAGTTGGCCACAATTTTAAGTCGCATTCCTTACAAAACAGACACAGCCGCTTTTATATCCTAATAACAGCGTCGAATTCAGAAAAACTCACCCCTTAGCTTTTGGCCACGTGCACCTGATCGGTTTACAGTTCATTAAACACATATTATGCGCAAATGCTTGCATGGTCACTGATCCTGATCTACGTTTGCATATGAACTCTACATGTGGAGAAAGCTCATGGGACAACCAACATAACAATGGTTGGCTTACGTTCTAAGAAATGATCAATTTAATGACGCGACTTATGAATGCTTGCTAATAACCATTTAGACACATTTCTTGAGAGATAAAAATTAAATGAACTTTATTACCCTTGATGGTAAATCGGATACAGAAAGAGTAATATAAACAACTGTATTTCAAATGAAAAAAGGCCGATCAGTCCTCATCTTGATACCTGGAATATTTATAAGGTTCAGCTCTATATCTTTGACGTCGAGTTTGTTTTCTCTGTTTTTGAGAGACGTTATCATCTAAGTAATTGACAAAGTGAATGCAGCGCCTTTTTCGCTTGGGTCCTTGCGATGGAGTTTCTATTGTAGGAGGGGGAGTTAGGATGGAAGGATTTGATATCAATGGAGTGGACCTTAATGTCGTGGGTTTTGGCAAGATGCTTGGTTGATTTAGCTTCGGAGTTGTGTTGAAGGGGTTCAGTGGTGTAGTGGACGCTTTTGATGTTGAAGAATCCTGTTTGCTTATTTGTTCTGGAAAGGTACTGTTTATTTCTTCACGTTCTATCGCATCTGGGTGTCGAACTGTTGGCGTATTCATCTGTTGTTTGAAACTCAGGTATCTGTCTTGCAACTGAAAGTACCGCTTTGCTTTTTCATCATTACTGAGATCAGTGCGAGAGAGAATATCAACCATTCTATCTTGTACCTCTTCCATTGCAGGAAGCAGCGGATTAGCCGATAGATTTTGATGTTTCAGATACCGTAAGAGTTCTTTTGAAAAATTGCCTTGCATTTCCGCTTGACTAAACCTTTCTTCACTGGATAGTACATTTGTCCGCAGTCTACAGTTATCTGGTGTAGTTGTCTTCAAATCTACCAGAAGATAACCGAAGGGTCTTTTGATTGCTTCTTCGTACTGCTTTATTAGTCTGTCCGGGATACATTTGCTTGGCCAATGTCACAATTATATTTGCAATTTATCTCTCGGGTTCTTAAAAAGTATTAAGTAATGACTGTTTAAACTTATGCTTCGACTATCCTTTTCTTGATAAAACAAATTCTGTACGATATAAATTACACTCAAGTTGCGATGATGAGAACCCCTAGTAAAAAGGTTTACAATGCTCTTGTCTTTGCTGGCATCAATCATTTGATCGTCAAGCACGATTAAGTTCCGCTTGCTCACATCGAAAAAGGAGTCATCTTCTAAAGCTGGGGGAATGCCTTTGACAAATTCTATTTGGGTTATGGTGCTGACAATTTCCAGATAAGCAGGCTGTCATTGTGAATAACACCAAACAATCCTCTCCGGTGGAAGTTGAATGGCTTTTGAAGATTGTTGTAATAGAGACTGAACCCAGAATGTCTTCCCTGATCCGGTCATCCCAGAGACGGCAGAGGTGAAAGGATGTTGAAATCGAAACTGCAGACATTTTTGTCTAAAAGTTGGCATTGTTTGAACTTGAGTTAAACTAACACTGCTGTGCTTAGAATTCATATGTCTCTGCATACTATCTTTCTTGCTAGGTTTTTTGGCTTAGGGAACAGGTCCAACTCATATCGTCTACTTGGAAGCTGATTACAACACCACCACCACGTACATATTGTTTCACTGCCACCAGTGCCACCGTTTTTCCCTTGTTTTACCTCCGCCACCACCATCACCACCACATATATATTGCTTTACTGCCACCACCGCCGCTACCACCGCCGCTACCACCACATTTTTATTGTTTCGCTACCGCCGCGACCGCCACAGTTCTGTTGTTTCCCTACTGCCACCACCACCACATTTCTAGTCTTTCACTGCCACCACAACCATTACACCTCTATTAATAATAGAAGATAAAATATTGAAATAATCCCATTATGCAGTAATGTCTTGTGTTGTGAAGAACATCTTTGGCTTTCTTAAACTGTTGGCTGACTGTCCTTCTCACCAGCGTCATTTTCTCTTAAGGACTGCCACTCCACAACAAATGCATGCATTGGTTCAAGTTTTACTTAATGTACTCAATAAGTACATCCCTATTCCCGAAGAAAATAGGAGAAAATTGCTTCAGCATGAGGAGACGCTAAGTTTTCTCGCTTCACCGGTTGTTCCTTATAAAACAAAGAAGCACATACTAGTGCAGGACGTTGGTGGCTTTGTTCAAGACTTATTGGTCCCTGTTATTACAACCTTAGGCTTAATGATGCTTTAAAATAGACAGCTCATCATTACATGTAATCATTTCAAACTTGCCTTCCACGTGTCGTGATCAAAATGAAGAGAAACCTAGACTTAGTTCAAAAGGAGCTCGAGAGCGAAAATGAAGAAAGGGGAACTTCTGATAGTGAACTTAGCGAAAGTCAGGAAGATGAAGAGCCAAGAATTAAAGATGTTTTAAACAATCCTTCCAAAGCGGTGTCTAAGAAGGGAACTTCTTATTTGTTGCATAGTATGGCCACATCCAGAGATATTCTGTTTTGGACTCCCCGCAGACAGCTGCTTCGAAATAATCGCACAATACCGGTCACAAACATCGCCCAGCTAGTTGGGTATGTACTTCTTCCGTTCAATGAAGACGTGATCAAGCCTCGTGCACTCAATACTTGATGGACTGGGGGAGGTAGGAATCGATAAGCAGTTAATCAAAAACAAAAAGCTTGTATGCGATTTGATAGAAAAATAAAAAAATTACGGAGACAAGGAGAGTGATACTGAGATGGAGGGAGAAGAGGATGAAATAGCTTCTGAAAATAGTGGTGAAGAAGAGAGCAATGAAGAGGAACAGGCTGTCAAAGACATAATTGAAAACGAAAGCGACGAAACAGAAAGCAGCGATTCATTGACTCAGTATAAAAATGAAAATCCCTGCCGTCATTTTGAAAATTTTAATCAGTACAATACATGTATACATTGATCATGAGATGTCCAAAATGCCTTTGGCACGATAACTGCTGGATTTGTCCTATATGCAATCAACAGATCCCCCTAAAGGAGAAAAATATAAAAGAGGGCCTAACACACTGTCACGATTGTGATGGGATCAAATACCGCAACCTGAAGCCGTCTAAAACCATTACTTATTCACCTTCTAATGAAACAAGGAGTCAAGAAGAGGACTAAATTTTGATCATTTGAAATATTTATTTATTTTCCTCTTTTTTAATATTTAGTTTACAGTAAAAGGCAATAAAGTTCATGCTATATCTCTCAAGAAACGTGTCTAAATTGTTATTAGTAAGCATTCACTTTTTCGCGTGAACGATAACACGACTTCTCTTGTAAGGCCTTCGGGTAGATTTATAGAGAGTATAACCAAGGTTAACGTCTTCTGGTGAAATGTCGGTTTCTTCCCGTTCTTTTATCGTTCTATAGACAGCACCTACACCACTGAAACTTGCGGGGTGACTTGGGTCGAGGTAAACGCTGGTTAGGTTTTTTTCTCCATCACAAAATTCATCGTTTTGTACAAGTACTTTACCACCACAGTAAGCTAGCACACAGCGTATACTGTTGAAAAGTCGTTCAATTCCAAAAGTGGAAGATGGACCCATCGCTCTAATCACTTCGCACTGCTCGAGAGTTAAATGTTTTTACTACCTACGTCATCGCCTTATATAACTGCTTTCAGATCTGATATCAGTAAAGTGGAAGAAGTAACAGCATAAAATTGTCCTCATTCCTCCTCCGTCAGGTCCAGATCCTCTACAAATTTCAAGAACACCAAGAGTCTGCCTAAATTAACCTTTTAGAAATACTTCAGAATGGAGTTCTTTCAGCTCAGAAACTATTGACCCTGGGAGGTCGTAAAATGTTTTTTTAAGAGACGTAATTTCTTTTTAGGGGAGACTATGGCCCTCAAGATCATATGGTAATGATTAAGCTTTATTCTTATGAAAGACTGAATAATACCCATTTTCGTTTTGGATGACAATAATAATTAATAATAATAACCTTCATTTATATGGTCTTAATAAGATAAAAATAACTAATGATGTCATAGACTATAGAAAATAGCTGATTATGTCAAGAAACCCCTCCTAATTTTAACTGATGATGTAATCTCACCAGTTACCATATTAAATGATTACTTTTGACGATGATTTCATCGTTTTTTTGATGACTTCAACACCCTAGATTGTTATACAGAATATCTTTCTATTTTTAGATGATGATCTCATCATTTTAATACCCTGAACTATTGTGACGTCAACTCCACCACCTCCACCACTGCGGAGAACCCCTCATATACCTCTACTATCGTATCAGTGAACTCGTTTGCTTAACCTTTGTTGGGCGGCAGTGGCCGGTTTGGAAGTCCTTTCTATCTTGCTATTTTCATTCTAAAATTAGCTATTCTCATAAGCAAGACTATTCTCAATGGTATGCGCAATAAGTCTCACAGCGCAGAATTAAACTGTTCGACGAAACTTTCCTCTTACTAAATCAACCTGTATGCAAATCGACACATTTTGATTTGGCCAATATTTATATGGCCCCTACTTAATGTAAATGCATGAGACTGTTTAGTTAATCATAAAAACATCCGTCGTAAGTTTGTTATGGAATACCAAGTTCACCTGTTTTCAAGCCTGTTTCATCATAGCAAATGTAGCTGTTTGTGTCTGCCTATAATTTGGCCTTCATGTATAAATAAAAATAAAATAAATAATGATTTGGAGGTAGCACATCCACAAAGTGGTTCTTCGCCTACCTGATTCCTGGTCGAATTGGAATTTGGAAATGTTGTTTTTGGGGAGAGGGGAAAAGAAAAACCTCTCGGAGAAAAGGAGGGAACCAACAACAAACTCAACCCACATGAGGCGTCGACGCTGGGATTTGAACCCGGGCCAAATTAATGGGAGGCGAGTGCTCTCACCACTGCGCCATCCCTTGCTCCCCAAGGAGGGTGAAAACATACTTGGATCAGTCGCAAAGTTAGATGAGAGCATCTCACCTTCAAACATTAAGCTTCGAATTACGCCACTGCTTGCATTGATCTTTTTATCAGATGTAAAGCTTGTATATCTATAGTGTAAACTGATACACTTTTCGCCACAAAAGCGAAACTAAACTGTTGCAATTACTCGTTAAGGCAGTTGAAATGCGTGTATAGTCTTTTGTCAATAAGGAAAGCCATTGCTGATTGTAATACCATGATTTACATATCTTGGAAAATATTGTCTTTTATATCGCGGGATCCTGGCATCTTTAAATACATGCGGATAAACTCAAGCTTTATGAGAACTTTCACTTACATTCAGGGTATTCTTTTCCGCCAAAAATTGAAATTGAAATGAATCACTTAAAAAGACGAATTATAGCAACGGAAATGCCCTCCAATATTCACGGCACCTTAGGTCTTTTATTAATGGAACCTGTTTTTGTTTGAGCAGCATGCAATTCTGAATCAGAACGAGATAACTTTCCTTGTATATTTAACTGATCGACAGACGCACTTTTAATTCTGCTTTTTTTCTTATTCACTGGGTTATCAAATATAAAAAAAATTGGAATAAAACACGTTGAATCTGACAGGCACCTTCAATTATGACAAATATAGTATTGCCGTAAGACAAGTATCGGCCAAAAAATTAAAGTTATTCACAACATCGCTTTTTTCTCTTTTTTAAGTGCGTCTTTGAAAGGAAAACAGATAAACCGTTTAATGGACAACTTATTTTGAAACTGCAACTGGTTGTTTAAATGACTGACAGGCGGTAGAGCCACAAGAAAAAATGGGTTTTAATTAGCCGCCGTCTAAATCCAATGAGGGGTTTAGTTTTTGCAATTTATTCGTTACCCCGTAGTCGCAAATTGCTAATTTGGATTAAGATGCTTTATAACAACAGAAGAGTCCTAATCTGTCCTAAGTATATCCCATGCTTATTACAGCTATAGAGCTGTCTGTCTTAACACTTTTATTAATATGGTGCAGGTGTTGAAGCTTTGCTCAAAGCCTTACGTGGGATCGCTATCAATTAAGCAAGGCTCATAGTTATTTAAAAAATTACCGATGAATACATATAAAACTTCTGATTGGCTTGTCTAAAGCTCATTTAAACATCTTAAGATGGGATGTTTTGTTTTGCCTTTTTAAAAGATTAACAACGCATAATATTAGCACTCTGACAGGCTTATGTGGTATTTTTTATCTAAATCAAACGTATGGTTCCTTGTTAACAACAGAACTAGAAGTACTTATTTGTGTAAGAAGCAGACCAACTAAAAATAGCTATATGATGAACGATATTAAAAAGCAAAACTAAGAATAACAAACCTAGCTTTTTTCACATTTTGTGCTCATAACATATTTTTTCAAAACACTCTTTAGTTTGCTCGGGAAAAAATATTCTTTGCATTATTTCTGAAGAGTATTACACTCAGAAAACATAAATTATGCTAACACTTCCTTTTGTTTGTTACCACAGCTTTTAATTTATTAGTTCCAAAGAGGCCGGTAGCTAAAGAGTATTTTCATTATTAACCTAAATTATTCATACCAGTCTGATATAGAATTCAGTCATTTGAGACTCATTTGATATAACGACGTGCGAGGAACCGAATTAATTCGAAATAATTGCTGGAAGAAGAATCGATCCGTTAAGCAAAAACGAACAATTTTAAGTTGTGTATCATAATTTGATATTCACAGTCTCCGAAGATATATTGGTTTAATACGTTGCTAAATTTGGCTTGACATGTTCATGGCAACTAGACTATATCACATACAGTCGGTCTTCATTGCTATCTTTAATTAATAATTCTCGCTTTATTGGTTACAATGGTTACATGCACTGAGAAAAAAGTAAAACTCGGGATTTCGTTTTCTAAAGTACTCAAAAGTCATCAAACAATTTGAAAGTGCTAGATAATAGGCTTCATTCTGAATGGTCACATTTCATGTTTGGGTCGGTCGTCCATATTAAAGATAGAGAGCGTCTCGATGGTTTGTGATTGGCGTCGAATATACAAATGAGTCTTTATACGTGTACAAATAATAAAATTCAGATACCGTCTTTGATCAGGGCAGGAATGACGACATATATTCAGTTCCTTTAAGCGTAGTTCACTCAGTATAGCTTCTGTACAGTGAAGACTGTGCTGTGGTATAAAAAGCTATTTTTCCAACAATTTAGGTTGTTGACGTAAGTGAGTGTTACATGTATTTTCAAAAACTTGGTTTTTCTCTGTCAACACCAAATACCAAAAAAGATAATTTCAAATGTTGATAAGCAGTATCGACGATAAAAGTTCATGACTACTTAAAAACCTCTTCCACTCTCGATAACACTATGACAAAACCATCAACTCTAAATATCCGCGTTGACCTTTTCATGTTGACTTTGTTTAATTGAAAAGCCTCGAGTGAAACATATTACATCAGTACCTACTGATTTCAGACTCTCCTTAAAGCTTAACTTTTAAGGCTCAACACCGTTTTGGATGCTAGATTTTGACTTTCAAACAGTTTTTATCAGTTCTCCTTGAAATTAGTGTTAAAGTTTTCTTGGCTGAACGGCGGTCAGGATATTTTGATAGGTTTAAGTTACACAACAAAAGAAAAAAATCTCTATATGCCTATAATAGTTTTGAAATATATACTTTCG